AAAGGGAGGTTGGAATATGAACCATGAGCTTGAAGGGCAAAGAAATGAGGAAGAGCATCCACAGAGGGAGATGAGGGAATGAAAGCAGTCATTGGGGGGGGGGTTCTTTGTTCAAATTAGGAAAGAAGAGTAAAAATACTTCATATTTTTACTGAAATCTAAGATGAGTAAATGTAAACACCCTTATATAATTAATACATTTAATTTTATACTTCAACAAAGTATTTATTACGGTTCAGAAATTATTTTAAACTGTTTAAGTGAAATGTGAGTTGAAGCCCAAAACAGTAACTTCTTCTGCCAGTGCAGGTATGCCCTGAGTTTTTATTCAAGATCTTCATCCCAATGATATTTTTACGAGTGAGTGAGCTGAGGGGGGATGAAAGCTTTTCCTTGAACCACCAGGAATATTTGTTCCTCCAAATCAGAAAGTCACTCAGCTTCCCTCTGTGTGTGTCAAGCACAGCTCGGATCAACCTGTGCCCCAAAGAGGGATTCTGATTTATTTTAATTACAAGTTATTTCTGAGCACAAATAGGTCTGAGCACAATTTTATCCTCGTGCAGCAGCTGCAGTTAGATATTATCTCTGCTAGTAAAATGCAACATCGAGAATCTGAACAACCTCAGATTTAACAATTTGCAAATTAACTTTTTCTTTCCTTTTTCTGTTCTCTTCGGCTGGTGAGGCTGAGTTTCAGTGCAGACCACTGTCTGGAGGTGGTTATCAGATCCTAAAGGTCAGAGCCTCCTTTGGAGTAAAGGTGGAAATAAAACAAAATAAAACAAAATTGACTGTCAGAAGAAAAAAAAACCAAATCTTTGGCCGATTCAGTGAGTTGATGACTAGATTGGAGTCATCCAGCAGCAGTGAGGAAGCCCCTGGAGCTGCAGGTATGAAAGCCAAGGGCCAGGGTTTCCAGAGGAGGAGCAGTGGGGCAGGAGGGGAAGGCTGAGCTGGGGCAGGAGGAGCAGGAGCTGCCTCCCTGGGCCGTTACCTACAGCTGATGAGCTCCAAGAAGAGCGAAACCTCGTAACAAAGGTCCTGTAGTATTGGCCTAAAACCTGGGAGCACCTGGGAACACCTGGGAACACCTGGGAGCACCTGGGAATACCTGGGAGCACCTGGGAACACCTGGGAATACCTGGGAACACCTGGGAGCACCTGGGAATACCTGGGAGCACCTGGGAACACCTGGGAATACCTGGGAACACCTGGGAGCACCTGGGAGCACCCGGGCTGGGGAACCACAGGAACGTGGGGCAGAGTCAGCACTGGCTGGACCTGCTGGAGCAGGGCAGGGAGAGCAGCCAGCAGGGCTTTCCCTGCATTTGTCCCAGTTTTCCTGCAGCCAGGATTTCCTTGGGTCCATAACATGGGTATGTGAGACCTGCCTGTGCTCTGGGGGTGGGAGGGAGCCTTTAAAGGTGAGGAGGAGGGAGAACCCTGGAACAGAAGGGTGGATGTAAACGAGGAAAGGAAAACAAACAGGAGAAATCAGAAAAGTGTTTAAGTTCATGGTGCAGTTCTGTTTCAGGTGGTGGCTGAGTGTAGGGTTCTCCACGTTTATCATTGTAAATCTCATTTATAAATTAGATTTTCTGTTGGCTGTGTCAGGGTTGCTCATGTTGCTCCCGAGGCAATAAAGGTGTTTACCTGTTGCAGAGGGGGCCAAGGTGAATGGACAAAGGGAAATGGCAGAATTTTGGAGGTTTGCATCAAACACACTCGCCTGCAGTTTTCCAGGGTGTGACACCTTTGTGCTCCCTGAGCTGAACATTGAACTGCCCCTGGATCCCTGGAAGTGTCCCAGGCCAGGTTGGACAGGGCTGGTGGGAGGTGTCCCTGCCCATGACAGGGGGTGGAACAGGCTGAGCTTTAGGGGGCCTTTGCACTCCAACCATTCTGGGATCCAGCAGTTCCCTGACTCTGTGTTTGAGCAGGTTTTCCCCACGTGGGATGTGAGCAGCCATCCCCAGGATTCTGGGCTGCCACATCATCCCAGCCCCTGTGTGTGTTTCTTGGCACTTTTCTCACCCACTGTGCCACGAATGTTTAAAAAACAAGGCACAACCAGTCAAACAAACAAACAAACGAAACCACCCAAAAACTCCCCACCAAAACCCCAAACCCCTTCCCCCCCTCCAAACATCCAACCCAACCAGTGCAGGACAAGCTGCTGCTTCCCCTCCCTGTGCTGGGAGCCCAGCTCTGTAATTTGCATCCTAAACATAGTTGCAGTTACTGTGGGTTTGGTTCATTCCTGTTTCGAACTTGAGAAAGGCTTCCCATCTTTCCTCTCCCCAGCCTCGTCCCCGAGGGATCCTTCTGTATCTCCTTGTTCAGGAATTAAAGCAGGTTGGTCAGTCATCCTGATGGATTCCATAGGACATTCCCAAATACCTGCCAGTGATGTGGGAGTTGGGCTCTTTTCTCAGGGAACAAGGGACAGGATGAGGGGAAACGGCCTAGGGCTGCCCAAAAGGAGGTTCCAGGTTGGATGTTGGGAACAATTCCTCCCTGGAAAGGGCTGTCCAGCCCTGGCACAGCTGCCCAGGGAGGTTTGGAGTGCCCAGCCCTGGAGGTGTCCCAGGAAGGCCTGGCCGTGGCACTCAGTGCTCTGGGCTGGGGACAAGGTGGGGATGGGGCCCAGGGGGATCCATGGGCTGGGAGGGCTTTTCCCAGCTGGCTGATTCTGGGATCATGGACAAAGCAGGTCCCTCAGCCAGGTTTCATTTCGAGGGCAACGAGAACAGATGACTGACCCATTTTCCTTGTGGAGAACACTGGCTCCTCTGGGATTGTGGAAGTGTGTGTCCTGGTCACTCTGACCTGCTGGTCCCTGCGTGGCAGTGCTCTGTGAGGTGCCTGTGCCCCTGAGTGACCCCTGGAGCTCCCATCCCGAGCCCTGCTGGCACTGCAGGGCCCCTCCGTGCCAGGGAACCCCGGGGAGCTGTGGCTGCCCCAGCCCTGCAGTGTCCAAGGCCGGGTTGGATGGTGGAGGTGTCCCTGCCCATGGCAGGGGTGGAACAAGGTGGGATTTAAGGTCTCTTCCCAGCCAAACCACTCTGGGATTTGATGACTGTGTGACTGAGGTGTCTGCAGGGGAAGGGAGGGATGAGGGACATGCACCCAAAGCCCAGGCAGAGGGAGATCTCGTGGTATCTTTGTTTTTCTGGGTGTTGCAGGAGATTCAAGCGTTACTGTCCCTTATGTGTGGGTAAAATAACCTCTCCTAAAACCAGTTTAAAACGTGAAGTCACTATTCCATGTGATTTCATCCAGTCCTCCAAGGGGATTTCTGCCCCTTGGAGTCCCTTGCTGTGGGATTTAAAGGGGTGCAGTGGGAATAAAGGTGATTTCAGGGACAGCACCTGGTGGGCTTCAAGCTGACCTGCATGTTTTATGTGATGGGGAAACAGAGAGAAATATTCCAAAAAATCCAGAAGCTTGGGGCAGTGTATGAGGGTACCTGGAGCTTGAACAAGATGAATCTCAGGGACAGTCCCAGTGTCCAGGACACTGAACTGCTCTTGCCTGCAGTGAGGGACAGGTGAGTTCCTTGGGAGGAACCTTGGCTGAGATACTCTGTTTGAATACGTTCATTGAACTTAATAAAATGGATTTATTTTAGGAACCTGAAAAGAAAAAAAAACAAACCAAAACCTTTGCATCTCTCCAAGTGCCACTGAGGTGCTTTCCCTTAGAAAAACAAAACCCCAGCAGTGTGTCAGTTCTGAGCCTGTGCTTTTCTACAGGAGGGAGAAATAAGGCAGTAAAATACATCTGCCTGTCATAATAACCTCACGTGCTTGTTTCCCTTAGTGGAAGGGAAGAAGGAGGAAGGCTGGGGTGGGTTTGAAGCTGGGTGTGCTGTGAGGCTGTTCTGGGGGCCGTGGGGCAGTGCCAAGGCACAGCTCTCTGTTCCCTGGGGACATTCCAGGCTGAGCCCACTGACTCCCGTGGAGCTTGGGGGAACTGGAGGAGAATTCTTAGGGGGTTTTGCCTTTTTTTAGGTTTCAGACACTTAAAAACCATATTTATTGGTTTTTAAACCGCCTGGTTTAAACTCAGGTTTTGAACCGTAAGTTGGTGAAACTGGTAACAAAAGAATGATTTAGTAACTAAGTAAATCATAAATTAGATTTCACACTGATAACTGGATTACCTTGCGCTTTTTCACCGGAGTTGGCTGAAATTCTGCATCTTTCAGGACTGTGTGGTGCTGTGAGAGGGGCTGGATTGTGCCCTCTTACCTGGGGTACAAGTTCCTCTCTGTTGCTGTCACTTCTTTAATGACTCCCTCCCCTGAGAAAGGGAGGCCTGTGCCACCAACATACATGGTTTTATTTCCAACTTAATTGCCCTGAAGTTCTTTACTTCCCTGACAGGTATGGTTTGACCTCAGGCACTGGGTTTCAGAGTGAAATGAATTTTTACAAGTTTTCTTGAAAAGACAAGGGCCCCCCAACCCCCCCCCAAACCCAACATCCCCCCAAATCCTGGGAGGTCTTTTCCAGCCTCAGTGATCCTGCAGGGAAGAGGATTGTCACTGACCTCTGGCAGCCAGGGGAAGGACTGGGATGTGCTTTCTCCTCCTGAACCCCAGAGGCCCCAGAATCACCTTTTCGGCTCAGCTTGCTCTGTGCTTTGCCAACAAACCCCCTTTGAACACAAAGGAATTCCTTATGTGGTATTTCTGTTTGTATTAATGCTGCTCTGAGCTTTTCAGACTTAGCAGGAGCAATTAAAACGTTCAGAATTAATGTTTCCTGTGTCCCCCCCTCCCTCAGAAGGTGTTCAGGAGCCCAGAGTGTGTGTGTGTCGTGGAACAGGGTAATTATGGAGGGATGTCTGTCTGTCTGTCTGTCTGCTGGTCTGCTCAGTCACCAGACAGGATCAGACTGTTTCTGGTGAGGGATAAACCCACGTTGTTCACAGCAGGTTGCTCTTGTAACAGCAATTCTGACACAAACAGTGTTTGCCATTTTTGTCTCCAGGATGATTGAGGAGAGTGGGAAGAGGAGGAGGACCATGGCAGAGAAGAGGCAGCTGTTCATGGAAATGAGTAAGTAGGAAATCTGAAGGCACAATGTCGTTTATTCTTTACCAAGAGCTCCCCTGGGACAGTTTTGCCACCTCATTCCCATCTTCTTCCACGAGACATTGCCCCAGCCAGGGAAAAACACCCAGAGTGCCCCTGGGAGCTGCTCAGGAGGAGCAGCAAAAGGTGGGTCACACCTGCCAGGAAGGTCAGTCATTCCAAGGTTTTGGGAAGCTCCTTTTTTAAAGAACGTTCACATTTCTCATCTCTGGCAGTATCTGAGGTCTGTGGGCAGCTGTTGAAATAAATAGTGACAACAGACAACAGAGCACCTTTTGCCTTAAAAAAATAAAAAATGACCCTACACCGCTGGTGTGACTCAGGAGAGGAGCAGTTTGTGGGTTGGTTTGTGCAGGATCACTCCTGGCAGAGAGGCTGGGATTGTTAACACACTGCATGCTTGCATGCCATCCCCTTATTCTGCTGTCCTGTGGGAGCACAGGGCTGAAGGAAACTCCTAGATTAGGCTGGCATGTCCTTAATTCCAGTTACAAACCGAGGGAGGTCTTCCTTAGAACTGGATATTGATACCGTTCTGTTGAAGGAATTCCAGAGTAGCATTTTTATCATAGAATCCTGGGATGGTTTGGGAGGGAAAGGACCTAAAGCCCAACCCTTTCCATGAAGAAATTCCTCCTGTTGTCCAGGCTGCCATGCTGGAGGGAATCTCCTCAGAACCTTTTCCAGTCCAATGGCACATCCCCGCTGGAATGGCTTTGGCTGGTGCCTCAGGGCATCACTTTTATCTCATCACTGCCAGGGGGTGTTCTCATCTTGTGATCATTTAGTACAGAAGGGCCACCTGCAGGGCTTTACCTTTGGCTAAATTGTTAGAAGTGTTCAGAATTCTGGTTACCTCCATCCAAGGTGTGTGTCTGTGCAGCTCAGGTTGTGGCTGTTCAGTACCAGAGAAGTGCTGGGCTCTGGATGTTCTCAGGTTGGGGCTGTTCAGTACCAGAGAAGTGCTGGGCTCTGGATGTTCTCAGGTTGGGGCTGTTCAGTACCAGAGAAGTGCTGGGCTCTGGATGTTCTCAGGTTGTGGCTGTTCAGTACCAGAGAAGTGCTGGGCTGTGGATGTTCTCAGGTTGGGGCTGTTCAGTACCAGAGAAGTGCTGGGCTGTGGATGTTCCCAAGGGCCTTTCTGAGTGAGGCTCTTCAGCACATCACTGGGAAGAGCCCGAGGCCACAGAATCAGGGAATATCCTGGTTTGGGAGGGACCTCCAAGGATCATCCAGTCCAACCCCTGGCCCTGCACAGACACCCCAATAATCCCACCCTGTCCCTCAGAGCGTTGTCCAAACCCTCCTGGAGCTCTGGCAGCCTTGGGGCCGTGCCCATTCCCTGGGGAGCCTGGGCAGTGCCAACCACCCTGTGGGGAGGAACCTTGTCCTGAGATCCCACCTGACCCTGCCCTGGCACAGCTCAGAGGTGTCCCAACTCTGCCTGTCCTTTGGTGGAATATTTCCCTTTGAAGTCACACATCAGTGTTTTTCCTTTCCAGGTGAGCTTCATACCCAGAGAAGGTCCACATGTGTAAAACTGGTGCTTTCAGGGACCTTTTGTTGTTTTGGCCAACATACAAATTGTGCTCATGTGAGCCAAGAGCAGACCTTGGTGTCCAGCCTGGCCTTGGACACGTCCAGGGATCCAGGGGCAGCCACAGCTTCTCTGGGCAGCCTGTGCCAGGGCCTCCCCACCCTCACAGCCAGGAATTCCTTCCCAATCTCCCATCTCTCCCTGCCCTCTGGCAGTTTGAAGCCATTCCCTGTGTCCTGGTACTCCAGTTCCTTGTCAATAGTCTCTCTCCATCTTTCCTGAAGCTCCTTCAGGTCCTGGAAGGCCACAATTAGGTGACCCCAAAGCTTCTCTTCTCCAGGCTGGACAATCCCAGCTCTCCCAACCTTTCCTCATGGCAGAGCTGCTCCAGCCCTGGGATCACCTTGGGGCCTCCTCTGGACTCTCTGCAGCAGCTCCACGTCCTTGTGCTGCTGTTGCCCAGGGCTGGAGGCAGCTCTGCAGGGGGGTCTCAGCTGAGGGGGCAGAGGGGCAGATCCCCTCCCTCGTGTGCTCCGTGGGACGCTGCCTGAATGTCACAGAGGACGTTGTGTGTGTTGCAGGGGCTCAGAACTTCGATGTCATCCGGCTCTCCACGTACCGAACCGCCTGCAAGCTGCGCTTCGTGCAGAAACGCTGCAACCGTGAGTCCTGCCCACCCCTGGGCTGCAGGCAGGGCTGTGCATGTCCCACACCCTCAGCCCTGCCAGTTCTGGGCGGGCTGGCAGCAAGCACTTTGTCAGGCAGTGGCAGTTGTTACTTTAATGAAACAGAGATGGAGTGTGCAGTTATACTGTGTAATGTCCAGTGATACTGTATAATCTCTTCGGGTTTGTTCCTTACTGTTCAGAATATTTAAAATACAAGGGCCAGCATGAGGTGTTTCCTTGCCCTCAGTGCTGGGTGCAGGCAGCTGGAGCTGTTTGAGGTGCTGCTCCACCCTGGGGTACCCCGAGCAGCTGCCAGCAGGGCACAGGGACAGCCCCTGTGGGAGGTGCCCGGCTCTGTCCCAGTGGCACTCGTGACATGGAGCGACCATAAAGAACTCTGCAAGTTCGTACCCCACTGCCAGTGTGAGTTTTCTCCTCCTGTTCCCTGACCCTGTGAGCATGGACAACTCCCCAGAGCAGAGGTGGATCCCAGGTGAGGGGTGGGACCCTGTGTTCTGCCCACGCCGAGCCGGACGCAGCAAACGCTGAAGGAGCTGAGGTGTGCAGGAGCAGATCCCCCCTCCCAGGGCACAGGAGTTGGGCTGTGTGGCACAGGGGAGGCCAGGAGAAGAACTGAGGTGTCCTGGGGAGGACACAGGTCCCTGCACGTTCCCCCCAGCCCGGGCTGTGTCGCAGGGCTGTGGTGACCGTTCGCTGGGCGGATGGCTCGGAGATTTCCAGTGCTGGGCAGAAGTGTTGGTTCCTGGCTGTAGCTCATGGTCCAGGATTAAAAATCTCTCCAGCAGCAGAGAGGTGTTAAGAAATGCTGACTGTAGGACGTTGCACTGGCCCAGTTCAGTGATGCCCATGCCCTGAGCAGCCTTGGCCATCCCTGGATCTGTGGGTGAGGCTGGGCAGTTGGGAACTGTGTCTGAGCCAGGGTGGGGGTTACAACTTGGCTTCTGTCCTTGTGTAGCTTTTATGTGAGAAATAGAGACAAGCTGAATGTGAGAAATGTTCCAGCTCACCCTGAGTTCAAACCCTTTTTTGGGGAGATCCCAGGAGTGGTGAACACACATGTCTGTCCTCTGTAGCTGCTGGATCACGTTCAGCTTGGATTGCTGTTGATCCTTAGATGTCTCCTCTGCTCTCATGCATAACTTAGAGCTTTGAAACATTTCAAAATACTGTTTCATGTGGTTCTGCAGATTTCCCCAAACTGTGGTTTGGGAAACGTTTTCTCCCCGTTGTTAACACTCCTTAGATGTGTGCTTGTATGTGGCAGGGTAATTTGGAAAAATGCTTTGGAGTTCTAGACCTGTGTTATGCTCAGGATTTGGCAACTGGATCAACTGGAAACAGTCACAGTTCAACTGGAACATCAAGTTCCTCCTTCGATACTCTGCTAGTCAGCACGAGGGTGTTCCAAATTACTGTAAACAATTTGTAGTGAATTTAGAATATCATGGAATCATGGAATGTTTGGGGTTTGGCAGCACCTCAAAGCTCATCCAGTCCCACCCCTGCCATGGGCAGGGACACCTCCCACCAGCCCAGGTTGCTCCAAGCCCCGTCCAACCTGGCCTGGGACACTTCCAGGGATCCAGGGGCAGCCACAGCTTCTCTGGGTAACCTCCCCACCCTCCCCACCCTCCCAGGGAGGGCTCGTGGCTGATGTCTCTAACTCTGCTAAAACACACTGCATGCTGGGGGGGATGGCTTTGCTCCTCTAGGAATTGTTTCTGACAGAGCTCCCAGATGTTGAAGGGTGGAATAAAAGGCACATGAGGTGTCTGGGCACTGCTCTGTTCCTTTAAACAGCTGTGAGTATGAACTCAGGAGCCTGTCTCTCACTCTGGATACAAATAACTGTTCATTCTAAAGAAAAGCTAACCCGGTTTTCACAAGCAGTGCCATCAGAGTGACCTTGCATGCCTTACAGAAGAGAAGTTAATTTTTTTTCCCCTTTATTTTTAGTTCACCTTGTTGATATCTGGAATATGATTGAAGCCTTCCGAGATAATGGCCTTAACACTTTGGATCATAACACAGAGATCAACGTGTCCCGGCTAGAAACAATCATTTCATCCATCTACTACCAGCTAAACAAACGCCTTCCTTCTACTCACCAGATCAGTGTAGAGCAGTCCATCAGCCTGCTCCTCAACTTCATGGTAGCAGCATATGACAGGCTAGTAATGCTCCAGCTGTATCCTTGCTCTGGTTTGCTCCCCGAGGCTCTGGCAGTCGTGTGGGTGCCACACGCGGGGGTTCGGTGGCACAGCGGTGCCCACGGGCACTGGCAGTGCCACAGCAGCACGGCTGGGCCTCAGACCTCTCCTCCTGAAGTGGTTCCGAGCCCTGTGGGACTGGTGGGAGCCGTGGGCTGAGCTGGGTGTGCGGTGACACCGTGCTGGGACCTGGTGGTTTAGCGCTGGTGTGAGGAGTGAATGTGTTCTGTGGAAGATTGCTCCAAAGGACCTTTCCTGCTGCTGCCTTGTCTGGACAGTCAGTTTGGGTCCCCTTCCAGTGTGCTGGGAGCCCATAAAGGCCACTTCTCATCTCCTGGCTGGGAGCAGCTGGATTTCTTGCTCAGGGTTCTCCCCAGGCCTTTCCTCATGTCCGATCTTACAAGTTCCTTTCACAGCCTGTTCCTGCAGGGTTTGCTCTGCTGATCTGGGGTGGCTGTGCCTCTGTGGGCTCTGCAGGTCCTTCACTGTGGTTGGCACTTCTTACTTTTGGTCTTCTTGTTTTCAACATCAGCTGTTACTTCAGCAGGATCTGTCTTCTGCTGTTGCCCCAGTGAGGGGTTTTACCCGAGACAGTCCCCAGCAATGAACGTGCCAAATAGTTGTTCTGTTTGTGATGTCCAGGCTTTGATCCTTTCCTCATGTGACAGCTTCTTATTGCCACTAAACAGAAGCTGGGCTTGTCCCTCAAAAAGTCCCAGACCTCAGAACAGTCCCTGTCTCACTGAGGGTGGATTAAACCAGCACAGAGCTCAGAGCAGGGACACTGGGACAGCAGAACCAAGAGGGGCTTTTCTGATCTGATTTGGCCTTAGTTGAGAGACAACTTGTGAGGGTTGGCTAAAGGTTTAGTTATTCTCAGATCACACTAGAAAACATAGAATTTAAAACCAGAAATGGTCATGTTCTGGGGAGCTGCCTCAAAAGATCAAGGCTTTAGTTACAGATAGGTTTTGTCCCCCACTTTTCCCCAACCCTGCAGAGCTCTGCCTTTTCTGCAACCCCAGCAGCACTTTTGATCCCAGCACGGTGCAGCAGCTTCCCTTTTCCTTCCTCTGCCTGGCATGTGGGACTGAGGGAGAAGCTGGGATGCTGCATGGGAGAACCAGGAACAGGAGGAGAGGCAGGGCTGAGGCTCCCTCTCCAGGAGTTCAGCAACGTGGCAGGCAGTTAGTTTTTAAAGATGCACATCTGTGCTGGAATTGCATCCCTGGGCTGGCTCTGTGCTGCTGGAATTGCATCCCTGGGCTGGCTCTGGGCTGGAATTGCATCCCTGGGCTGGCTCTGTGCCTCTGGAATTGCATCCCTGGGCTGGCTCTGTGCCTCTGGAATTGCATCCCTGGGCTGGCTCTGTGCCTCTGGAATTGCATCCCTGGGCTGGCTCTGTGCCTCTGGAATTGCATCCCTGGGCTGGCTCTGTGCTGGAATTGCATCCCTGGGCTGGCTCTGTGCTGGAATTGCATCCCTGGGCTGGCTCTGTGCTGCTGGAATTGCATCCCTGGGCTGGCTCTGTGCTGGAATTGCATCCCTGGGCTGGCTCTGTGCTGCTGGAATTGCATCCCTGGGCTGGCTCTGGGCTGGAATTGCATCCCTGGGCTGGCTCTGTGCTGGAATTGCATCCCTGGGCTGGCTCTGTGCTGGAATTGCATCCCTGGGCTGGCTCTGTGCTGCTGGAATTGCATCCCTGGGCTGGCTCTGTGCTGCTGGAATTGCATCCCTGGGCTGACTCTGGGCTGGAATTGCATCCCTGGGCTGGCTCTGTGCTGGAATTGCATCCCTGGGCTGGCTCTGGGCTGGAATTGCATCCCTGGGCTGGCTCTGTGCTGCTGGAATTGCATCCCTGGGCTGGCTCTGTGCTGGAATTGCATCCCTGGGCTGGCTCTGTGCTGCTGGAAGGCACAGAGTGCTGGAGCTCCTTCCAGCTGTGCTGGTGGGACCATCTCAGAGCCTGTAGCTTTCTGCCAGACAGGAACAGTCACAGTCATGGAATGGTCTGGGTGGGAAGGGACCTTAAAGCTCATCCAGTGGCACCCCCTGCCATGGGCAGGGACACCTCCCACCAGCCCAGGTTGCTCCAGCCTGGCCTTGGACACTTGCAGGGATCCAGGGGCAGCCACAGCTTCCCTGGGCAATGCCAACATTTCAGCAAGCCCTCAGACCTTTCCTGGGAATTCAGCCTGACTGGGTGCCCCATAAGGAGGAATTTGGAGTCTGATTCCTCTGGAGAGGACGTGGTGGGAGGGCTGGCACAGCTGGAATGCTGCAGTGGCTCTCTGGGAGGGACAGGCAAGGAGTGGGAGTTGTCCTGGAGCTCTGCCTGGGGCTGGATGAGGAGCCAGCTGCAGTTTGAGTCAGGGTGAGTGGGCAGAGCCACGTGGACACCCTTGCTGGGGGTGTCTGCTGCAGAGCCCTGGGCAGGAGGACCCAGAGGATGAGGAAGGAGCCTCACACACACAGGCCTGCTCTGATTCAAACACGTCTCCAGTTCTGTTTCCAGTCCTGGTTTTTACAAGAGATCCAAAATCATAAGGGAAGTTTTGCCTTTTTTCTTTCTGCTGGGAATCCAGCAGATGGAATGGCACTGGGGCAAAGATTTGGGCAAATTGCTCAAGAACTGCCCCTGTCAGATTGCAGGGGAGGAGTTTGGGGGTTTTCTTGGTGCATAAACAGTGTCAGCAGGAGCCCAGTGTCTGATGGCACCAGGATCTCCTTTGCAAGGGCGAGTCTGTGTCCTGGGAGGAGGCACTCTTGGCTTTGGGCACTTGATTTAACTCAAAAATGACTCAAACCCGAACTCTCCTTTGATATAAAGTTAGTGTGTTTAAAAAGCAAAAGGGAGGGGGGCTGAGACTGGAGGGTTGAATTGGCAGCTGAGCTTTGCTCAGACAGAAGTGGAAGTCAAGGCTTGAAGAGGATGAACTTTTTGAACAGCAATTCCAGGCATGTCCTGGGCTGATCCCACAGGGATGGTGGGCAGCAGGGCAGGGGGGATCTGCCCCTCTGCCCCCTCAGCTGAGACCCCCCTGCAGAGCTGCCTCCAGCCCTGGGCAACAGCAGCACAAGGACGTGGAGCTGCTGGAGACAGTCCAGAGGAGGCCCCAAGGTGATCCCAGGGCTGGAGCAGCTCTGCCATGAGGAAAGATTGGGAGAGCTGGGATTGTCCAGCCTGGAGAAGAGAAGCTTTGGGGTCACCTAATTGTGGCCTTCCAGGACCTGAAGGAGCTTCAGGAAAGATGGAGAGAGACTATTGACAAGGAACTGGAGTACCAGGACACAGGGAATGGCTTCAAACTGCCAGAGGGCAGGGAGAGATGGGAGATTGGGAAGGAATTCCTGGCTGGGAGGGTGGGGAGGCCCTGGCACAGGTTGCCCAGAGAAGCTGTGGCTGCCCCTGGATCCCTGGAAGTGTCCCAGGCCAGGCTGGATGGGGCTTGGGGCAACCTGGGCTGGTGGGAGGTGTCCCTGCCCATGGCAGGGGGTGGCACTGGATGGGCTTTAAGGTCCCTTCCCACCCAAACCATTCTCAGATTCCCTGTAGTAAAGTCTTACTCTTTTCACATGCAGAGGGAGTGCCAACTTGTTCCTTTGGGAAAGCTCTTGTAAAAGGAGAAACAAAATAGGACAGTTGAGGTCTTTACTGTGAACTTTATTCTGTTTATGTTCCTTGGAGTAAATACAGAAGGTGTTTAATTTTCTCCCTTAGTTTAGTTTTTTCCAGCAGTGGTTAAAGGGTGCTGGGTATCAACAAGTGATGGCCTGGGATCACCATTCCTTTTCCCAGAGCTGTGGCTCCAGGAGATTCCCTCTTCTGCAGAGGGAATGTTTAAAAGACACTGAGTCTGTATTAGGGAAACAGCCCCTTGTATTTCAGGAACTTCTCAGCCTGAGAGCCTTTTCCTCACCATGGAATGGGAGATGTTACCAGAGGGTAATATTTCCAGACTAACTCTGAGTGTGAAAGGGAAACACAAGGGATTTGGTTCTTCCTGGTGTCTCCCGTGGCTGCTCATCCGTTGTTGACATCAGACCTTGTCCCTCAGTACCATGAGCCAAAATCCACTTCAGATAATCCTGTTCTTAACAGTGTCCAAGGCAGGTGTTAATGCCCATCTCCTTCCCACTGAATCCTGGAATCTTAGGATGGTTTGGGTGGGAAGCCACTTTAACACTCATTTAATTCCACCCCCTGCCACGGGCAGGGACACCTTCCACCAGCCCAGGGTGCTCCAAGCCCCGTCCAACCTGGCCTTGGACACTCCCAGGGATCCAGGGGCAGCCACAGCTTCTCTGGGCAACCTGGGCCAGGGCCTCCCCACCCTCACAGCCAAGAATTCCTTCCTAATCTCCCATCTCTCCCTGCCCTGTGGCAGTTTGAAGCCATTCCCTGTGTCCTGTCCCTCCAGCCCTTGTCCAGAGTCCCTCTCCAGCTCTTTGCAGTCTCCCTTCAGAAGTGTTTCTGGTTTCTCTGGATCTCTCCCCACACTCCTCCTGTGTTTCCCCCCTCAGTGTATTTTCCATGCCGGTACAGATTACCTGTCCAGCCCATTTAATGACAGGCATTGGAATTTATTTGAGTTGGGTTTCTCCTTTTACCTTTGAGTTCCTTGCTGGGGGTCTGTGATCAGGGACAGGGGGCACTTCTGTCTGCCAGTAACTTGCTCAGAATTCCAGCAGCTTTTCCCCACCTTTGCCCAGCTGTGCTGTGCTTTAACCCACCCAGCCTCCCCTCGTGTTCCTGGTGCCTTCTCTCCCACAGCATCTCTTCCTCAACTTCCTCCTGGAAGCAGGAATACCCCCCATGTCTGTCCCTACCAATCCTGCTGTGCTGGGTGGCTCCTTCCTGCTTTCCACAGAGCCACATCCCTTCTCTCTTGCTGGTGCAGAAGTGACTCCCCAGAGGTGCCACTGCTCCCACAGCACAGCAGCTTTAATCACCTCAGCTGCAAATGAACATTGTTCCCAGTATTCCCTGTCCCATGGGGGGTCTCCAGGATCTCACACAGCTTCTCTGTTACCTGTCAGTTCAGGGGCTTGTTTTTAGAATGAAATGTGTGTTTGGACGTCAAGAGTTTAAACTAAGGAGTAAAAGTTTAAATAAACTAACAGGGGGCAGCAGAGAGAAAAATGAGGAGTTTCACAATGAACAAATGGATCTTAATGGAAAAATGAATTAGCACTGTTTTACAGAAGAGTTATGGGATGGGCAACACAAATGTCAGGCTCTTTATCTGGGAATTTTTCATAATTCTGCAAGGAAATTTGATTTATGGTTAGACACTTGTTAACTCTTGCAGTGCATTAAAAATGCTGGTGTTATCCCTGTTTGAAAGTTACATTAAATAGCTTTGGCAGTCCTTAGTACTGAATGCAGATATAGATATAATGGATATATAGAATAGTATAATGATTTACACGTTTCCTTCCTAGGCCTTAAGTGCTTTAGTGCTTGCCATTCCCTGCTGGAATCCCTCACCATGTGCTCTTTCCCACAGCGAGGGCCACGGGAAGCTGACGGTGTTCTCAGTGAAAGCCATGCTGGCCACCATGTGTGGTGGGAAAATCCTGGACAAACTCAGATGTGAGTATCCTCCATAAATCCAGCCATTTCAGGAGATAGCTGCATTCCCACACGTGTTTGGTGTATTAAGTTCTGGGAGCTGATCCTCTGCTGAGTCGGCGATCCCGACGCTGACCCGTGAGTCCCAGAACCACTGAGGTTGGAAAAGAGCTCCCAGGCCATGGAGTCCAGCCTGTGACTGACCCCACCTTGTGCCCCAGCCCAGAGCACTGAGTGCCATGTCCAGCATTCCCTCTCTGAGCCAGGGAGTGTTCCCCAGCTGTCTCCACAGGTCTGGTGTGGGGCAGAGCAGCCCACGATCCAAACCCCCCAGTCCTGCTGGACAAGGAGATGGAGCAGATTCCTCAAGCTGCAGAGAAAACTGCTGTGATAGAGTGTTCTGTGAAAGCATGGAGAGCAACGTGGTGGTGAATAGGAAACAGCTGTTCCCTCCCCCTTCCAGCTGTTCCCTCCCCTTCCAGGGCAGGAGCCGAAGGGCAGCAACTGGAATGGGCAGGGACAGATGGGAGCAGCAGAGACCAATTCTGCTTTAAATTTCCCCGAGGATGTGGTGGGCACCAAACATCCACACCCCTCCATTGCTCCTCGAACCAGTTCTGCTGGAGGAAATAAATTCATCCAAGGCTGCTGAGAGCAAAGGGACTCTCAGGGAGGGGAGGAACGTGCCGGGAATGTGCCAGCCCGACCATCTGCTCTGGGGATGAACAGGCTTCTGATCTCTCTGCCTCAGCTGTTCTCTTGTTCTTTATTCCTTCTTCTGATCATTAGGAACATGCTGACTTGGTTTTTCCCCTTTTCCTTCCCACCTGGCTCACTCCATCACCAAACAACTCCTGTTTCCAGGCTCCTTGTCCCCCTGATCCCAGCCCTTTCCTGAGCAGGTTGGCAGCTCTGGCTCGGCTGGAGCATGAGGCTCTCTGGAAATCCTGGGAGTTGTATCTTTAACGTTCTCTCATCTCATGAATGGTTGGAAGCTGGTCTCTCTGCTTGCACATGCACAGGCCTGTTTCCCTGCATGCTGAGGACATGAGCAGACAGAGCATTCCCAGCTCCTGCCGTGTCTGAGGGCACAGAGGGACTGGGAGAGGGACACTGAGGCCACTCCACTGGCTCTGGAACAGATGAGTTCCTGTGAAGGCAGGGACACCTCCCACCAGCCCAGGTTGCTCCAAGCCCTGTCCAGCCTGGCCTTGGACACTTCCAGGGATCCAGGGGCAGCCACAGCTTCTCTGGGCAACCTGTGCCAGGGCCTCCCCACCCTCACAGGGAAGGATTTCTTCCAAACATTTCAGATCTAACATGGAATCTGATTCCCCTTCCCACCTGCCCTCCTGCACAGCTCCTGTGCTGTCCCTTGGGGATGGGGTCAGTGCACCCCAGCTCCTGATGGCTCCTGGTGAAGCTGGGGAAGGGAGGGAGCTGGGGGGGCTCAGCCTGGAGCAAAGGAGGCTCAGGGGGGACCTTCTGGCTCTGCAACCCCCTGACAGGAGGGGGGAGCCAGGGGGGGTCGGGCTCTGCTCCCAGGGAACAAGGGACAGGAGGAGAGGGAACGGCCTCCAGCTGTGCCAGGGGAGGCTCAGGTTGGACAGGAGGAGGAATTTCCTGCTGGAAAGGGTGGTGAGGCCCTGGCAGGGGCTGCCCAGGGAGGTTTGGAGTGCCCAGCCCTGGAGGTGTCCCAGGAAGGCCTGGCCGTGGCACTCAGTGCTCTGGGCTGGGGACAAGGTGGGGATGGGGCACAGGGGGGACTCTCTGTGATCCTGGAGGGCTTTTCCAACCCCAGTGATTCCATGATCCTGTGATGCTGTGTTCCTTCCATTCCCACATTTCCCTGGAGTGCTGCCAGGTGTGACTGTGGCACTCTGACACTTGGTTTGGTTGGAGGAGGCTCCTCAGGGGGTTTCCTGTGGGGTCACTGAAGGTGTGATGCTGGGTAACCCTCCTCCTGCTCTGCCCCCTTTCTGTCCCACTTCGTGCACTGGCAGCATCTTTCCTCTGGACTGGATGAGGTGGGATGGAGGAAACAGGAGGATTTGTATCATGGCACGTTGGAATACATGCATTTATAAATTTTATCTTGATAGCAGGCGACAAGAAATTATGTCCTGGATAAAACAGAAACATCTCGGGGTTCAAACGGATTGAAATCTTTTTTCCCCGTAACAAATCTGTATTTACTGTGGGGTTTTGTTATATTTTCTTACAGATATTTTCTCTCAGATATCAGATTCCAACGGACTAATGATATTTACCAAGTTTGACCAGTTTCTGAGGGAGGTTCTGAAGCTCCCCACGGCCGTGTTTGAGGGGCCCTCCTTCGGCTACACGGAGCATTCCGTGAGGACCTGCTTCCCTCAGCAGGTGAGGGTTCCCTCTCCAGGACTTGGCATTCCTGGGGCATCGAGTCCATGGCCTGGGCAGGGTTGGAGGGAGGGGTTGCTGGTATCCCAGGCACTTTTAAGACAGCCTAAAACAGGCAATTAAAGGTTTTTACACCACTGTAGTTGATTCCCTTCCTTGAGGTCACACCCCAGAGCAGCAGGGATGAGCCATTTCTTCTCCAAAACATGAAACATGGCATTTTTACTATTTTCTGTTGATCTTTTTAAAGCTTTTTCGCAATTCCTTTCAACTGGGTCTGTACCAAATAAACACCTTCTTTACAGGCAGTTTATTTTTAAATCGATTTCAGCTGTAATTTAGTTGTTCCAGTGATTTGTCTCTCATCTGAGATAATGTAAATAGTATTTAACTCAACTGTAAACATGAACTTGGGTGATCTTAAGCCTCAGATTAAATGTTCAGGCTCTGGGCATGGTGATGTTCCAGAAGAAATACTTTTGCAGTGTTTAGGTGTGAAATTTGTAGTCACTAAATGTGAGTTAATTAGCAGCTGGTGTATTGGGGAAATGACACAGTGGGGAACAACCTTTGATTGCAGAACCAACAAGGCTCCAGATTTACATTGGATATTGGGAAGGAATTCCTGGCTGGGAGGGTGGGCAGGCCCTGGCACAGGGTGCCCAGAGAAGCTGTGGCTGCCCCTGGGTCCCTGGGAGTGTCCAAGGCCAGGTTGGACGGGGCTTGGAGCACCCTGGGCTGGTGGGAGGTGTCCCTGCCCATGGCAGGGGGTGGGACTGGATGGGCTTTAAGGTCCCTTCCCACCCAAACCAGTCTGGGATTCCAGGGTTCTCAGACAGTCTGTGAAGTGTTCCTGGGAGGCACAAGTTGTGCCATAGAGACATTTTAAGGCTGAAGTAGTTTTTGGTGTATAAAATCGGAATTTTTCTGTATAATCAAGTTCTCTTTCTCTTTTCTCTGCAGAAAAAGATCATGCTAAACATGTTTTTGGACACGTTGATGGCTGATCCTCCCCCCCAGTGCCTTGTGTGGCTCCCTCTCATGCACAGACTCGCCCATGTTGAAAATGGTAAATGGGATATGCAAGTAAAACCCCAAAAAGCCCTGCAGCCACCCCAAAGAGCTCCCACCCCTTTGGTTTCCACCTTGCTGGCAGATGCCTTGCCCCTGATCCCATATTCCTGATGCTGGTTGCTCCAGTCTCCTCTTTACCCACAGCTGTGGGGCCTTTGGCAGCCCATGGGGGGCTGTCACTGGGGGGGTTGTGCCTCAGGGTTTATTTTATCAGATGTCTTGTTGCTTTCCCAGATCACCCTGTCAGGGTTTGGGCTCTTTGGTTCAGGACACTGTGGTGCTTTTGTCCCCTTTTATCAGTGGGAACCTCTGCTGGCTGCAGGAGCCAGGGAAGAGAAGGGACAGTTCTGAAAAGGTGGGGGAGAACTTATGGAGCCAGGCTGGGAGAGCTGGGGGGGCTCAGCTGGGGAAGGGAAGGATCCAGGGAGACCTTGGAGCCCCTTCCAGAGCCTAAAGGGGCTCCAGGAGAGCTGGAGAGGGACTGGGGACAAGGGATGGAGGGACAGGACACAGGGAATGGCTTCCACTGCCAGAGGGCAGGGAGAGATGGGACATTGGGAAGGGATTGTTCCCTGTGAGGATGAGGAGGAATCCTTCCCTGTGAGGATGAGGAGGCCCTGGTTCTGGTTCTGCTCCCTCTCCCTCACCTTTCAGGATACATTTCCCATGGGAAGGTAGAGTCTCCTTCACCTCACTCTGATGTTCCTCTTTGGTTTATTGCTCTCACAATCCCACCCAGAATAACGAGTGCTGAGGGCCCTGGGGGTGGTTTGGGAGCTTTCCCTGAATTCCACTTCATGCTTTTTTTCCCTTTGCCTTTTTTCCCCCCTCCTGGCAGTCTTCCACCCCGTGGAGTGCTCGTACTGCCACTGTGAGAGCATGATGGGGTTCCGGTACCGGTGCCAGCAGTGCCACAACTACCAGCTCTGCCAGAGCTGCTTCTGGCGAGGCCACGCCAGCGGCCCCCACAGCAACCAGCACCAGATGAAGGAGCACTCCTCCTGGGTAACTCGGGCTGCAGCAGCCACCCCCTGCTCATTCCTGCTGGAGCTCACAGGCTTTAGCCCACAAACCCACCCCGGGGCTTTCCAGGGTCCCCAAAATGGCCAAAATGTGTAAATGGGAACAGTGCTGGGTTTGTGGTTTGTTCTTCCCTGGGTTAAACCTGGCTGGTGGCCCAGGGAGAGGTGGGGAATGGAGTCCCATCCAGCTGGGAATGGGCTCCAGTGGGGTTACACAGGGATCAGAGCTGGGACCAGCCCTGGTTAACACCTTCATTGATGATCTGGACGAGGGGGTCGAGGGCACCTCAGTCAGGTCGTGGATGACACGAGGGTGGGTGGGATGTGGGTCTGCTGGAGGGCAGGAAGGGCCTGCAGAGGGGTCTGGCCAGGCTGGATCCATGGGCTGAGGTCAGTGGTGTGAGGGACAACCAGGCCAAGTGCCGGGTCCTGCCCCTGGGTCACCACAACCCCCTGGAACACCCCAGGCTGGGGCAGAGGGCCCTGGCACAGCTGCCCAGGGAGGTTTGGAGTGCCCAGCCCTGGAGGTGTCCCAGGAAGGCCTGGCTGTGGCACTCAGTGCTCTGGGCTGGGGACAAGGTGGGGATGGGGCACAGGGGGATCCCTGGGCTGGGAGGGCTTTTCCAACCCAAACAGTCCCGTGGTTCTGTTCCCCACAACGTGGATTTGTTGGTGGCTGTCCCTGGGCTCAGGTGCTGTTGAAGGTCCTGCTCAGCCCCTCAACGTGGGTGTTTCTCTTCACATCAGTCCCACTTTTCTTACACTGTCCTCTCTTGTAGCTTAAAAATCCCCAAACACTGCCCTTGCTGTCCTGCCCAGAAAGGTAACCAGTTCCCATGGATGCTGTGCTTACACAGGTATTTTATCCAGTGGCACCTTTAAAGACAGTATTTCTTTAAGAGAAAAACACATTATTGCCATTCTCCTGCCAGGTGTAAATATGTGCCTGGAAAACTCTTAATTGAAAAACCTTAAAGAAATCATCTGAGCAATAACATGCAGCTTGATAATCACAGCTCAAGAAATAATGGACAGTTTTATGCAGAAAAACCTATTTTATGGCAAAAGATTAAAGCCAAACTTTTACTTAAATTCAAAGAGAAGTTCAAATGGTGATTGGATTATAATTAGTAATTATCTTCACAAGAAAGTGCCATTATAGCATTGCTGTTAAATTTAGAAAATTGGGGCTGGATACCAGTCAGGAGTCGGGAGAGAAAGGAAAATTTAGCCTTAAATATTGTCCTTTTTATAACTCTGTGGGTATTAAACTTGTGGAATGTTTAATCTGAGCTAAGAGTAGGTTATTATTATCCCCTTAAAGTGTACATAAATCCAGTCTGGGATTTTTAGTATGAAGGTGTATCTAAGCCATAGAATTCCAGACTGGTTTGGGTGGGGAGGGACCTTCAGGCTCATCCACCCCCTGCCACTATCCCAGGTTGCTCCAAGCCCCCTCCAGCCTGGCCTTGGACACTGCCAGGGATTTCAGGACGTGGTAAGGCAACCAGAAGGAGGCTAAAATACTCCTGGCTCTAGCTCCAGAAACTGATTTCTGAGCCTTTTGAACCATTTGCTGCTTATTTCAGGCAAAAAAGTGTTTAAAATGGGCTGAAGAGTTCAGGGATGTATGAAATTGTTTATAGGAGACTGGGCTGTCTCCCATAAACTGAGCCTGGAAGAGGGACCTTTGAGAGAGAGATCTTTTCCATATCCATTTCTTTGGATTCTTTAACTTCTGCCACTCTTACGTGTTGACTTCACAAAACCTGAAAATGAATCCTGATTTTAAAAAAGCATGTCCTGGTGTTGGATGTGGACTGTGCTGCTGGTTCAGTGACTCCCCTGTGTGTTTGCTCCACAAGAATTCCTTGGGGGAAAGCCCAAGTGCTCCAGCTGAGCAGGTGCTCTGGGACAGGCAAACCAGGGATTGGCTGTTCCCAGGTTTTCAGTGCAGCCACAACTGGTTCAGTCTTGCCTGGTGTATTTTGGAGCCATGTGACCTAGAATAAGTACTAATAATAAGTACCTCATACTTATTATTAATGTTATTATTAACACACTTATTAGTAATTATGCTTATTGGGAATGTTATTATTAATACACTTATTATTATAGGTTCTTTCTTCTGAAGTTCTGAACTGCCTTTGGTAGCTTTTTCATGCTGTAAATCACATAATATGGAGATTTTTAGCACATATAAATATATATATTACTCCAGTGAGTATATTAAAATCTATTACTATAGTGATTTTATATTTATAAGTTCAGGTAGAAACCTATTTTTGAAAGAGGTTTTGCTGCGTGAAAATGTTGCTTGTTGGGGCCTGTTTGGGGGGATAAAAAAAACCTTCAGACACTTTGCAAATGTTTCCTTTTGGGCCATTTCAATGTTGGTTTTAGTGAATGGCCCTGGACGGGGTTCAGTGAGTTCTGTGCACGCAGCAGAACCCAAAATCCAGCTGTTCATCCCGGAAGCCTGGGGATTAGCCAGAGCTCATCCTGGCTGGGGGGGTTGGGGTCGGTTTGTTGAGCTTAAACAATCTGCCAGCAGTAAATTTCGGGTCAGTTGAAATTGTCATTAACGTTCCAGTTAAATTTATTATTTGATATTTAATATTATAATCGAAATACTCGGATGTGGTTGGGGGGTGGGTCAGGACGCTCCTCCTGCTGTAAATAATGGAATGTTTGTGGCTTAAAACCCACCTTACCCGGTGCCTTTGGAGCAGAGATAAACAAACCAAAGGCATGTTCAGGTGTTCCTGGAGCGAGGACACCTCTGGACACCTCTGGGAATGGTTACAGGGGATGGGATGGGATCTGAGCCAGGGCCAGCCCCTTCCCCTGCCCAGCCATGCTCCGGGAGCTGCTGCTGGCATTGGCACAGGAATTGTGTCTCTCATGTTTCTGGCTCGTTTAGTTTCCCATTCAGACGGCCTGGAAGCAAAATTAAACCTTTCTGGACGTGTCTGTGTCCGGCCCCAGCCATGGGACACGCGGATCCCACGCGGATCCCAGGATCCCACACAGATCCCAGTGTCCCACACGTGGATCCCAGGATCCCACAGGTATCCCTGTGTCCCACAGATATCCCAGTATCCCATGCAGATCCCAGTATCCCACACGGATCCCAGTGTCCCACACGGATCCCAGTGTCCCATACGGATCCCACTATCCCACACACGAATCCCAGTATCCCACACGGATCCCAGTATCCCACACGGGTACCGCAGTATCCCACACGTGGATCCCAGTATCCCACAGGTATCCCTGTGTCCCACAGATATCCCAGTATCCCATGCAGATCCCAGTATCCCACACGGATCCCAGTGTCCCACACGGATCCCAGTGTCCGATACGGATCCCACTATCCCACACGTGGATCCCAGTATCCCATAGATATCCCAGTATTCCACATGGATCCCAGTGTCCCATACGGATCCCACTATCCCACACACGAATCCCAGTATCCCACACGGATCCCAGTATCCCACACAGGTACCCCAGTATCCCACACGTGGATCCCAGTATCCCACAGGTATCCCTGTGTCCCACAGATATCCCAGTATCCCACGCAGATCCCAGTATCCCACGCAGATCCCAGTATCCCACAGGTATCCCAGTATCCCACACGGTTCCCACTGGTATCCCACTATCCCAGCGGTATCCCAGTATCCCCCCGGTATCCCAGTATCCCACCAGTATCCCAGTATCCCACAGGTATCCCACAGGTATCCCCCCAGTATCCCAGTATCCCCCCGGTATCCCAGTATCCCAGCGGTATCCCAGTATCCCCCCGGTATCCCAGTACCCCAGCGGTATCCCAGTATCCCCCCGGTATCCCAGTATCCCCCCGGTATCCCAGTATCCCCCCGGTATCCCGGGGCGCTCCCGCCCGTTCCCGGCTGTGTGTGCCGGGACAGGTCACGCGAGCCCCGATTCCCGGTGCCCTGGGAATCCGTTTGTAGGGCTGCGTTTCCCAGCAGAGGGCACACGGAGCCCGGGAATGTGGGATGGAGTCAGGCACAGCAACCCCTGGAAAGGGCCCTGGGGGTGCTGGTTCCTTAAGCCCTTGCAGTGACCCGTGGCAAACGTTTCCCGAGGGTTTCCCTGTTCTGTGCAGGATGAAAAAGGAGCAGAAACTGTTTGGTTTGGGTGTTTATTGAGGTATTTGGCAGAGGGGGAGTGTCCTGCACTGGTGGGTCTCAATGTGTAAAAAAGGCTGAGAATTTGCTGAAGGAAGGATTTCAGAAAGCTGGTAACGTTTATGAAAATCCCAGAATCGTGAGCTTGTTAAGGTTGGAAAAGATCTCCCAAGATAATCAGGTCCAGCCATCCCCCAGCACTGACCCAACATCCACGGGGATTTTAAATCCCCCCAGGGATGGGCACCCCCCCTCTGCCCTGGGCAGCTGTGCCAGGGCTGGACAGCCCTCTCCAACAAGGAATTGTTCCCAGTCTCCCAGGTGCCCCTGCCCTTCTGTTGTGCTGGGGAGCAGGAGGTGTCCTTGGTGCTGCCCTGGGCTCTGCAGAGCCCTGCTGGCCCGGAGCTGGAGCCAAAGGGACACGTGGATGTCCCAAAGCACTTGGAACAATGCAGAGGAGAAACCTTCCCGGGTGCCTTGGCAGCTGGACAGTCACTGACAGGGGAAGGAGTTGCTGTGACTTCACCTCCTGGAGGGAGCCCGAACCCAGGCGTGCCTGGGCCGGGGAGGGCACCTCGTGCCCGCACTGCACTCCTGTGCTGGCTCCTTTGGGATCCTTTATATCACCCTGACCCAAGGGCCACGGCAGCACAGGCCCTGCTGAGTCACGGCTGTGCCATTCCAGGCAGGAATCCGGGCTGGATCCCCTGCCAGGCGCTCCCAGGGGAAGGGGATGGGGCGGAGCAGCCGAGCTGGCCGAGCTCCGCAGTCCTGGGGCAGTGCCAGGAGGGAATGGGAAGGGGTTGGGAGCCTCTGAAAATAAAAGTCACACCAGCCTGCTCTGCCACTGAGAGCTGGAGATAAATAAGAGCATAAACTGGGCTCGTGAAAGCTTTTTCAAAGTCTGAAATTGTTAATTAGTGTTAGAGAATCACAGGATGGTTTGGGTTGGAAGGGACCTTAAAGCCCATCCAGTCCCACCCCCTGCCATGGCAGGGACACCTCCCACCAGCCCAGGTTGCTCCAAGCCCCGTCCAACCTGGCCTTGGACACTTCCAGGGATCCAGGGGCAGCCACAGCTTCTCTGGGCAGCCTGTGCCAGGGCCCATAATCATGGAATCATTAAGGTTGGAAAAGACCAGACCACTCCCAGGACTCCCACATCCCTGCCAGGAGCTCAGTGGACACAATTACATTTTAAAACTTAACTTTGTAAGTCGATATGGGATTTAAACCACGTTTTGCACACATGACTCAGGGCAGGTCACCATTCCTGTGGGTCTGGCAGTGCTTGTCAGCAGCCTGTCAGTGTTCCTGAGGATCTGGGATCGTTGCTCCAGTGAGGTTGTCCAACAGAATGAATTTGTGAAAGGGAATGAAGAAACTGGTCATTCCTATCTGTCCCAACACTGTGTTCCACCTTGGCTTTGCCCATAATGGACAGAAAACTGGGATGTGACCTGCTCCTATCCTGCTCCTCCCCTCCAAACACATCTGTGTTCAGAGGACCTGGAGAGTGAGTGAAAAAATCCCTTAATGGGATGTGATTGTCCCTCGCTTTAATTCCTGACAGAGCCCCCAGATAATTGGTTTAGTTCTTAATTTTGTTAAACTCCTTTCAGTTTTCAATATTGGAGCACAAAAGAACCCCCCCAGCCCTCGTTCCCCTGTGCAGTGCCTGCAGGGATTTCCCAGGAATGGTGTGGCAGAACTGGGTATTTCTGGATGTTCTGCCCTGTGCCTTTCTTACACTCTGACTGCAGGTGCTGCCCTGTTCTTCCCAGCAGCCCCCTCACTCTTGTTTCCCTTGCCCACCCCAGAAGTCCCCGGCGAAGAAGCTGAGCCACGCCATCAGCAGGTCCCTGGGCTGCGTCCCCAGCAGGGAACCCCCCCGGCCCCTGTTCCCTGAGCAGCCAGAGAAGCCCCTGGACCTGGCCCACATCGTGTGAGTACCCACCTGGGGCCGTGTTCTGGGAGCCAGGGGAGGTGCCTGGGTTGGGGTTGGGGTTGGGGTTGGGCAGCAAACGGGGGCTTTGGGCTTGGAATGGTGGCTGTGCCGGGCTCAGGAGTGTGGGAGTGTTTCTCTGAGACACTGCTTGAAGTGGTTCCATTGGGAGCATCCCGTCACCAGAGGAGCTGCAGGAGGGTTGGTGTGCAGCTGGCCCCAGGCCTGGCTGTGTCCTGCTGCAGCTCCTGCCAGTTCTCACCACTGGCACCTTTTGCTCCCCCTCGTGTTGGATCAGGCTCTGTTGTCTCACCCATTGCAGGTTAAAATGACACAAACAGAACAATGTTAAGCTGATTGACTTGCAAATTAACGTTTCCTGGTACCAGCAGTGGCAGGTTCAGCCTGTTGCTGCTGCCTGGGACATGGGCTTTACATCCCTGTCCATCCCCCTGGGGTTCCTGCTCCGTGGCATTATTGTCACTCTGGTTGTGCCCTCCCTGCTGAACCGATGGGATGATTTTAATACAACACCGTTGCACTGGTGTTGGTTTGGGCAGCCCTGAGGTCACTCTGCTTCCCCTTTTCATACATGTAGATGAGAGCATGTGCTGTAGAGAGAAGAACAGGAACAAAGCACAGGGATACAGTTCAAGGAAAATGGGAGAATTCCCATTTTCATGAGTGTTGGATCATCCACAGGTTGGAGGGGGAGGGCAGTCGATGCTCCTCTGGTTTCCTTTTGACATCTTGAATACCAAATTCTCCTGGAGCTGGTTTCTGAATGGAGAACTAAGGTGTGGAACCCTGGATGTCCCACACCCTCTGCCCGTTCCGTGTCAGGCTGTGCTGCTCTGGCCCTCCCCAAACCCAGGGGGTTTCATTGACCGGCTCTTCTGCTCACTCCTTTGACAGTGTGGTCGTTAAGGAAAAGCTGGAGGCTAAATTGTCAAAATATTGGAAAGGTGAGAACTGCAAAGCTCATTTGTAGTGTGGCTTTTTCTGGTGTGAAAAGCGTAGAGGGTCCAGAACTGGGCCTGGAAGAGTAGTTGCCACGCTGGACTCCTGCCCACCACAGCTTTGAGCT